GAAAAATAATAAAATTCAGTGTTGAGGATTTGTAAAATGTATCAGTAAAACAAATTTAAATCAAAAGTAATCAATTTCAGTATAAAGAAATTTACAAACTTTCTTTTTTTCCATAATTTTATTGAGAAACAAATAGCAATGAGACAGTTTCAAACCAAATTGGTAGGACAGTTTCAATAATTAACACATTGCATACATTCTTCCTAGTGGTTAATTGCTGTGCAAGATGCCGACATGATATCCTATTTACAAACACCATTAGAACAAATCCCTCTATTCATTAAGAGAATGTAAGTATATATCTATCCTAACCATTAGAATACACAGATACAAAATGGACATTCATCTGTATCCCCTTTTTTAGTTAAGTTCCATTATTTGAATATTATAGGTGTGTAAACTCAGCAAAATATTCTAAAAGAGTCCAGTAGTCCATAATGGTATTGGGTCTTCCACTTGACTGGAAATGTCAGAAATTGTTGACCTGAGTCTCCTTACAGCTCAACATAACACCATGGCTTTGCTTCTTATATTTCATTTTTATACTTTTCTGCTGAATGGTTAAGACCAAGGTAAAGCAAGACCTATGCAACAAGAGTTGAGGCTTTTGAGTCTGACAAAGTTAGTGAAATTCCCTCAGGATTTATCCTGAGATCCTGTACCTCAGATTGTAGAACCTTTGTCAGTGTCACCATGTGGATGAGTCACGGCCATTGCTTGGCCAATGTGCTCTCTGTGAAAGCCTGAGGGAATGATTTCTCTCCATGTAACTCTCCTTAGGCACACTCTACATCATCGATCACTTTCCTCTTTGGCCCCATAATCTCCTTGATCAGAAAATTTGGGACACTACCGAGTTACATAACATTGCAGTACAGGTTCTCATATGTCCTGAGTCTTAATTGACCTTGCAAGTCTAGGGCCAAAATGTTGACTTTCCTTGAGAAAAGCCCTCCTTTTCTCTGATTTTGGTCTGCAAACTTAGGTTGTTAACCATCCAGAAGACAAGCTTATTGTTATTACTATACAACTTAGAAGAAACGTACAAACTTTCTGTGGAGAAAAATGCCATAATAATATCCAAATATATGCTATTGACAGTATGAGCTTTGATCTTAAATAAACATATCTCAATATTTTTCATAAATTCTATCCTTTCATTATAACTTTTTAAACTAAATGAAGGATGTTAGTATTAAAATTGTTCTGGCAATTTAACCCAGTATTTAATTTTGTAGAAAGTATTTTAAGTACACATTTTGCCATTGATAGTATTTACAATTCAAAGCCAGTGTATCCTCTAATTTCACCATGTCTAAAATTCAATGGCTTTATCATAAAAGTACAGATAATATTGAAGAGCAATTAAAAGAATGTACACTATGCAAGGATTAGACTCTTCGTAAATCTATTTGGCAAAACACACATACCTAAGATAGAAAATAAGAGATCCGAAAATAAAAACCCCCATGGTCTTGTCATACTTGATCATTAAATGGTCCCAATTAATGATGAGTTATGAATAATATGATATTTTGTTTATAGATTTATGATTCAAGGAATTGAAAACTGGAAGTACCAGATTTTTCCCCTGTGGGTGATGTCTCACCCAGGACAAGTGGTGCTCACAGTGGTAAGTCACTGCTGTTTTGTTGCATGCATTCCAGTAGGAGTATGTAGATTTGGGCTATGTTTCTCTTAGAGGCTCTTGGGAAAATCCATTTCCTAGCCTTTTTCAGCATTCCTTGGCTCTGGCCTCTTTACCTTCAATGCTAGCAATATTGCACCTCTCTGGTCATTCTTCTGTATCACAGCTTCCATTTCCCACAAGTGGAAAACATTCTCCAATTTTAAAGTTCTATGTTCTGGTTTAGATCTAAACTGATGCCCTGAACTATCGTGTATTCTACATTACATCTTCAAATTTCCAGAAGATGATTTGCTCATGGCACTACCCACTGATGAGTTCATAGATAAAAGTGCTGTTGGGGGCCCAGGCCCATCAGGCAGAGGTGTGTCACGGGGGTTCCTTTGGAGGGTAAATCTCTCCTCCTGGCTCCTCCCTTTGGTCTCTGCTTCCTGGCTGACATGAGGTGAGCAGCATTCCTCTGCCATCCCTTACACCATGATGCTTCTGCCTTAGAGCTACGTAACCCTGGACTGAACCCTCCAAAATATAGCCAAATGAACATGCTGCTTTAAATTGTAGGTGTAGGATATTGTGTCTCTGTGAGGAGAAAGCTGATACAAATACAACCACACTGGGGCCATTTAGACAGTCCATATCAAGAATCTTAATTTAATAATATCTGTAAAGTCCATTTTTTGTGTAAAGTAGCATATTCACAGGTTCTGGGGGTTAAGCCATGGATATCTTAAAAGAATCCATCATTCTGCTCAATAAATGCATATTTGCTAGTGCTAATTATTGCACTAGCAAAGGTAAAGGTGAAGAGAAATGAAAGAAGTTTAAGGTGAAAAAAAAATTAGCTGGGCTTTTTTTTTTTAAAGATGTTAAAGCCAAAGGAGTAGTGAAACTTCCCCAGAATAATGTATAAAACAAAAAAAAGGGGGGGGGGAGATAAGAAAAGACCCTAAGAAACATCAACATGTAATAGACAAAAGGAGAACCCATGAAGAGGACTGAAAAAAAGTGGCTAGGAAGAAATAAAAAGTATGGAGTTGCCATGGTAATCAACAGAAGAAAAAAGATCATTTTTGTTGTTCTTGTTTTTGTTTTTAAACGTCTCACTGTGTAGTTCAGGCATGCCTTGAATTCATTATGCAGCCTAGGCTAGCCTCACACTTACGATTTTCTTGCCATAGCCTCTAGAGTTCTGGGATATAGACATGTACTACCATACCTGTCTAACAAAGAACGCTTTTGTTTGATTTTTTTCTAAAAACTAAATGATCATAAAAAGAGTAGCCATAATTTTAAAGGTTCTAAACAGATCCGAAAGCTATTTTGGCTGTAATTTATGAATGATTTTGGTAACCTGGGAGACATTAGCTGTTCTGGAGTGATGAAGGTAGAAACCATATTGATACCTCCCACCATTATCAAGTATTTTTAAGTATACTTCACTTATAATTTTTTATTCCATGTGAAAATAACTTCATGTCTTTTTACTTTGCCCTAACCCACACAAGTTTCAAGTTTTTGTTAAGGTAACCTGGGATTGTAGACACAAATTATGTTGGTCAGATCTCAGTCTCTTTCCATGTCTCCCTGACTGGATGAATCTCAGATCTCAAATTGTTGCTTATAAAGGTGACAAGAGAGGAGTTGACCACATTTCTCTGGTTTAACAAAACTTCAAATAATCAAAGGAAGAACAGCCAGTTTGCTATGTTACAGAAAGGTTTCCACAGGCCCTGGTGCTCCAAATACGTTCAACAATAAGAAATAGCCTGTGTTAGCTTTTGATTACTGTGACAAATCCTGGGGGAAAACTCAGAGGTGAAGTTAATTTGGCTCACAATTTCAAAGACTTCAGTCCATGCTTGGCTGGATCCAAGGCAAAAACATCACGGCAGAAGAGTGTAGTGGAAGAATGCTGTTCATCTCAAACCAAGAGACAGGCAGAGGGGAAACAGCTGAGAGGAAGGGGTTAAGGGCAAGATCCCACTGGTAGGATCTACTCCCTTCACCCAGGCCCCACCTCCTGTTTCCATCACTTGCCAATAACACCATCAGATTCTGTTCTTATCAATTGACCAGTAATGACATTAGAGTCCTCATGATCCAGTCACCTTGTGGAAAACCCTCTCTCTGAACACATGGGAGTTTTGGAGGACATCTTAGATATAACCATTAACCACCTTGTACTCTACTTCCAGAAACAATTTTAAGGTAGGTGTCCACTTCACTCATTAAATATGCTCTTGCCAAAGTTTTTCCCATATCTACTCTCCTTGCTGCTAATTTCTCATCTCAGGATACAATTTATAACTCTATTATCTTGTATTTATGTATATGTTACATGAGGAGCTGTCTGTGAACGGAAATAAAAAGACATCACTGAAGGGCTGGAGACTTAAAATGTCTGTATACAATGGCCACTAAGATAATTTCAATATGGATTTATCCAGGATGTGGTAATTAGTAATTCCTCTATGAATAAACAAGAAAAAAATTTTAAAATCTGGTTCATATTCCCCCTTACCATGAGCATTCTCACTTGAGGCTGTGGATCTGGAATACATGTCTGAAGGGCAGCAGTACAGACTCTCCTGTGGCCCCACCCTGCCTGTGACTTCTGCTGCCTGTCACAGACTCTTGCTCTGTCCATTTCTCAAGGCCCAGTTTCTAGTTTCCTGTGACCTGCTGATTATGAGACTGCAAAATTCTCTATGAATTTCAGCATCAGTTTCCATAGTATGCAGTCAAGAATGTTGTTTGATACACTGGGTTTCTAGTACTTTACTTTCTTGCCTGCTTGGGAAAAAATCTCACTATGATACTGCATCAATGCAAATTACACTGTATGTATAACTTTCTAATCCTATTTTAGGCACTTAAAATTCAGTATGTGCCCAAAGTGAATTTATTATGTCCTTTCATCCACAACTCACCCTTCCTCTAGTAGGCCCTATTTTAGTGAGTGTGGGACTGGAGCCACAATTCACTCAACTGTACAGGCCGGAACCTACAAGCTTTCCAGATGTCCTGCCCTCTTTTAACTTCCAGTCAATGTGACCTTCATCCAATTGCCCTTTTAACACAGCTCTGGTATCTATGGGAAGGGTGAATGTGAAAAGAGAGATCAAATAATGGAAGTTACATAAAATTTCTGAAAAATACAGTTGCAGACAAGGTCTTCTATGTGTATCACTTTGGCATCACACATACTTCATGAAAATGTTTTAATTTAAAATAAAATGTAGGGGGCCAGGGAGATGGCTCAGTGGAATAAGTGCTTCCCTGGCAAGTGCAAGGGTCTGAGTTCAATCCCCGGTTCCGCCAAAAAAATTAACCACACAAAAAAATAGATAAGATAAAATAAAATGTATATTTAAACTGATATATTTTACTTTTTTCAGAGCCAGATCATGTTTTACAATGACTGTATCAGAAGTTTTGGGAGTTCTCATTCAAAAGAAGAGCTAGGAAAGGTCCATACGACTGTGCTCGGTCATCTAGAAGCAGCTGCAGAGCTGGTTGTGCCGAGTACTAGTAATTCTAGGACAAAAAATGTCCTCAGTGCCTTGCTTACTCTTTATGTTCACTGCAGAGACATTGTGAAGGATTTACTACTTAAAAACACCTTCAGTGCAGAGGATTTTGAATGGACCAGGTAGGCTGACGTGAGCTGTAACTGCATACAGTAACTTCCTGTAACCCTATCTTCAGGTAAATTGGCTCTCTGCTTCAGACTATGTCAAACCAACTTTCAATTTCCAGGAATTTGTTGGTATTCTAAGCAAACTGCAACAACTGGAGCACCATTTTCTTAAGCTTTCTTCTTTCTCTGTTCTACTGTCCCTGCCCTCGTCTTTCTGCTTCCTCTCCTAATTATGCTCCCCTCTAGTTGCAACTGTGCTGTACCACCCAGCCAGGAATGGTTTGCAAGGGTAATGAGAAGTCTGCCTCATGACTGTTTTTTCTAACTTTTTCTGAGTTAAACCAGATTGGAGAAAAACAAATCTAGGAACGTTTCCAGCTGATTCCTCAAACCAGAAACTCCCTTCCTCCCACCTAGAATGAAGCAGTCGAACATGAAAGCACAGAAAAAGAAGGAAATCAAGCATAAGATTCTCAACACTAAATGTAGAGTTTCAAATTTTTGAATTTTTAAAGTTTTTCTCTTAGTTTTGTTGTGTCATCTAAGACTTACAAGTTGGTAACTGAGAAACATTAAAATTTTGTTGCAAAGTTTATCTTGAAAATTTACATGTTTTTAAAGATTTCTTTATAGTATTTCCTCTTGTTCCAGAAAGGGTTTCAAGGGTTTATAATGAGGGTGTATAACTGACCACAAAGTGCCATAAAAAGAGAGAGAGAGAGAGAAATTGCAAAGATGAAACTGTCTGTAGAGACCTTTAGCAACTCTGGGCTGGACCAGGATCTACTTCAACTCCAAATCAGAGCAACACTAAACAATTCAAGATGTATAAGGATGATATTTCCATGACATTATTCTGATAGTTTTAGGAATGCAATGTAAAATTCATTTTAAAATATTGTTTAATGTATGCTTATTTTAAGAAATGAGTCTAGGCCAGGGAGATGGCACAGTGGAATAAGCGCTTCCCTGGCAAGTTAAAGGGCCTGAGTTCAATCCCTGGTTCCACCAAAAGATAGATAGATAGAGAGAGAGAGAGAGAGAGAGAGAGAGAGAGAGAGAGAGAGTCAGTCCATACCAATGAAGTCATAAATTAGTCAAGAATGAATATCATGGGGGCTGGCAAGATAGCTCAACAGACTAAAGTGCCTGCTTAGGCAAGTTTAGGCAAGCTCAGGGACCGTGTTCAATCCCTGGCACCACATGCTGCATCAGCCCTGCCCACAGTCTAGGTGTAGTAGTACACACCTGTAATCCCAGCACTGGGGAGGCTGAAAGCGGGAGGATCACCCCAAGTACAAGAAGGTAATGTACAATGTCCATAGGATAAATACACATGAATTTCTCCAAGGTTCAATTTTTTTTTATATCTAAATAACATTTGTCTCCGGTCCTCTCAAAACAAGGATTTAGATTACAGTGAATAATGTCTCCACTCACATTGTTTTTGGAAACATTCACAGGGATGATTCCTGTATAGGAATACCTGTATAAAACACCTCAGCTCAGCAAAGGACTCTGGCTAGGACGAAGTGCTCGTATGCTTTTGGTTGCCTGAGTGTAAAGAGGTCATATCTAACACAGACATTGGAGAATTTTATATTTATTCTCATTTATTTTTATATTTTGATTTTTGTTTTATCATCAATACTCTAATCTTATTTCTGCATGTGAAAAATAAAAATGATTTTACCCAGACAATATAAGCATTTAAATATTGTTTTCAGACACTTGCAATACAAGTGGAATGAGAAACAAAGGTTGTGTTACGTGTCTCAAGGAGATGCCAGCTTTGCCTATGGCTATGAGTACTTGGGCTGTACCCCCAGGCTGGTCATCACGCCCCTCACAGCCCGCTGCTGGCTCACCCTCACAAGAGCTCTGAACTGGAACTTGGGAGGCTGCACTGCTGGCCCCGCTGGAGTAGGAAAGACAGAGACTGTTAAAGATCTAGCAAAAGTAAGTAGCTTCCAAATCCAGAAAAGAAACTTCTTTTATTTCTGTCACACAAATTTTATTTTTTTTATTTTTATGCTTTATTAGTGAATTTCCCGCTTTTGACATATTTGTTTGAGATTGCTGATTTGAAATTCTAGTCTCATTGTCAATTTTTTCCTAGGTGGCATTTGTTCAAATAATTTAATTTCTGTATGTCTTGGAGAAAAATTATTTACTGATATTCAAGTTCCAATCACCGTATAGGAAGGCACTGATCAGTAATAAAAGTGTTCACTGTCCTTATAATCAAGTGAGGGAGAAACAATACAATCAAAGCCAAACAAATATAATGTTGGGAAGAATTATCATGTGCCATGTCATTCACCCTATCCTCTGAAGGTGAAAAACAGTAATAATGGAAAAGTTCCATATGTTCTATTATATTGGGCTAGATGGTTTGGTAACATTTGGGGTATATGACATTCTATTTATTTATTTATCATTTAAATTTTTATTTATTTTTTATAATTTTATTGAGAAACAAATATCAATGAGACAGTTTTACAACCAATTACTGGCACATTTACAGTAATTAATACATTGCATATTGTTGTCTTAGTGGTTATTCATTGTACAAGATGCAGACATAATATCCTGTCTCAAACACTATTATAACAAACCTCTCTATTCATTGAATTAAGAGAGTGGAACTGTATATATAGCCTACCTATTTTGACTATACAGGTACAAAAGGGTCATTCATTTCTATCCCACTTTTTTTGTTAGTTTTGTCAGAGAAGGACATTCCATTGTCATTTAAATATTGTAGGTGCTTGAATTCAACAGAATCTCCCAATACAGTCCAGTAGTCCATAATAGTAGTGGGCTTTCTGTAAGACTGGCAATGTCCAAAGTTGTTGACTTGAGCATTTTACAGCTCTGCATATTAATGTGGCCTTTTTATACTTTGTTTTCATACTTTTCTGCTGGATGGTTAAGACCAAGATAAAGCAAGGCCTATATAACAAGAAAAGTAACTTTTGTATCTGATAACATCAGTTGAATCTCCTCAGGATTTAACCTGAAATCCTATACTGCAGTTTGTAGATCATTTGTGAGTGTCAGCCATGTGGATGAGTCATGGCCATTGCTTGACCAATTTGCTCTCAGTGAAAGCCTGAGAGAATGTTTTCTCTCCAGGTGACTCTCCTTAGGCACACTCTACATCATGGATCACATTTCTCTGTGGCCCTATAATCTCCTTGATCAGAAAATATGGGACACAACTGAGTTACATAACGTTACAGTATAGGTTCTCCTATGTCCTGAGTCCTCACTGACCTTGAAAGGCTAGGGCCAAAATGTTGGCTATCCTTGCAGTCCTTCTTTTTCTCTAATTTTTGGTCTGCAAACTTAGGTTGTCAATCCTCCAGAAGAGAAGCTTATTTTTACCCTACAACATATGCAGTTGGGTTTAACCTAACTGTCTGAATATCAAACATCTTAGGCATAACATAGAACAGGTATTTTCCATCAAGTGTTGATAGGTTAAACTTTAAGTCCCTGAAGAATATGAAGACAAAAATTAAAAAAGTTTAAAAAAAATTGAAAAAATATGAATAAACAATTACATAATTCTACACAGAAATTAAGAAATCTAACCATATACAGTATTGTAGCAAGATAGTCCTGTGACATTTTTTTTCCTGTCTCTTGTTTTCATTTATTGCCTTTTTTTTAAAACAAGCATTTACTTGAGAGACAGTGTGGCAGTAATTGGTATGTCATGACAAGTAGTACGTATTTAGAAGACCAGAATGGCAGGCATTCTGAGCATGACCCGACCATTACACATTGCTGTCTTCAGTGCAGCTGCTTAGTTCACAGCCATCAGCATATATAGTTAGTCAGGGTGAGAATCCTACCAATTAACTGCTAGTTTCAAAAACATGCTGCAGTATCTCAGAATCCTTGCCTTACCCATCTTGTGCGTACAAATGTATGGCTTTGCCCCTGTCATGTTTCCCAGCTTTTCTCCTTGCCCTCTCCTCATGGCCCAATCCTCAAGTTCTCACTTTCCTTTTAATTGTGTTATACCTTTCTATTGTGTTATTACTTCTTTTGAGTTCTTATACTAGGGAGACCATATGATATTTACACATGTCAATCTGGTTTATTCACTTATGAGTATATCTTCAAGTGGCATCCACTTAAATATGAAGGCTTCGAGTTTATCATTCTTTATAGCTGAGTAATACTCCATTGTATAAAAATACTACATCTTTTTCATCCATTCCTCAGGTGATGGGCATCTTGGTTGTTTCCAAGATTTGACTATCACAAATTGTGCTGCTATAAACATAGGTACACATATATCACTATGATATGACGTTTTCAGTTCCTCTGGGAAAATTCCCAGTAGGGGGATAGCTGGTTTGAATGAGATTTCCAGTCCTAATTTTTAAGTATTCTCCACACTGATTTTCATAATAGTTTCACCAGTCTACATTCCCACCAGCAGTGGAGAAGGGTTCCTTTTTCCCCACAGCCTCTCCAACACTTGTTGTTGGCTGATTTCTTTATGATAGCCATTCTTTGTGGGGTGAGATGGTATCTCAGTGTTGTTTTAATTTGCATTTCACAGATGGCTAGTGATGTGGAGCATTTTTTATATATTTATTCGCTTCTCTAATTTCATCCTCTGAGAAGTGTGTGTTCATCTCGGATGCCCAATTCTGGATTGGGTCTTTAAATTTTGGGGCCCTAATGTTTTTTAGTTCTTTATAAATTCTAGAGAGCAGACCTTTGAGTGCTTATTAGTCAAGATTTTTTTTAAATTTGTGGGTTGTCTTTTTACTTTGTTGGTAATTTCTTTTGGCATGCAAAAATTTCTTAATAAGAGGAGGTCCCAGTGGTTAATTCTTTCAAGTATTACCCATGTGATTTAATTTTTGTTCATGTACTCTTTGCCTACCCCTATGTCTTCAAGATTTCCTCCTACTTTCTCTTCCAGGAGATTTAGTGTTTCTGTTTTAATGTTTAGATCTTTAACCCACTTTGACTGTAGTTTGGTGCATGGTGATAGTCCTGGGTCAAGTTTTAGTTTTCAGCATATAGAGAGTCAGTTTTTCCAGCATCATTTGTTAAACAGGCTATCTTTCTTCCAGTAAGCGTGTTTTTCCCCTTTGTTGAACATCAGGTGACTGTGTTCTTAGAGGCCTCTGCATCTTCTAATCTATTCCATTGATCCTCAGGTCTGTTTTGTTGCCAGTACCATGCTGATTTTATCACAGTAGCTTTGTAGTATAATTTTAAGTCAGGAATTTTAATGCCTTCTTCCTTGTCTTTGTTGCCCAGGATTGCCTTTGCTATTCTAGGTCTTTTCTGGTTCCAAATAAATGTTAGGAATGATTTCTCTAGGTCTGTGAGGTATGTTGGTGGTAGTCTGATAGGAATTGCATTAAATCTGTACAACAATTTTGGGAGTATGGCCATCTCCAACATGTTAGTTCTTCCTATCCAGGAGCATGGAATATCTTTCCATTTTCTGAAATCCTCTACCATCTCTTTTTTCAGAGTACTGTAATTTTCCTTGAAAAGATTTTTAACTTCTCTAGTTAGATGAATTCCAAGGTATTTCATTTTGCTCGGTGCTTTTGTAAAAGGTATGGTTTCTCTAATTTCCTCTCAGTGTGTTTGTTGTCTGTGTAGAGGAATGCTATTGACTTTTGGGTATTGACTTTGTATCCTGCTATGCTACTGAATTTGTATATCAATTCTAGTAGCTTCTTGGTGGAGTTTTTTGGGTCTTCCAAGTAAAGTATTGTGTCATCTACAAATAATGGTAATTTAACTTCTTCTTTACCTGTTCTTATTCCTTTTATTTTTCTGTCTTGTCTAATGGCTCTAGCTCATGTTTCCAGAACTATATTGAATAGGAGTGGTGATAGAGGACATCCTTGTCTTGTACCAGAACTGAGAGTAAAAGATTTCAGTTTTTCCCTATTTAGAATTATGTTAACTATTGGGTTGTTATAGATGGCTTTTATCAGATTGAAGTAGAGGCCTTCTATTCCAATTTTCTGTAGGACTTTGAACATGAATGAGTGTTGGACTTTGTCAAAGGCCTTTTCTGCATCAATTGAGATGATCATGTGGTTTTTAGATTTTGCTCTAATGATATAGTGTATTACATTTATACATTTCTATATATTGAACCATCCTGTCACACAAATTTTAATGTTATCTTAGATTTACATCATTCTTGCTGTTAAGATGTTTACTATATGTAAAGAATACATGTTAGTTCATACATTTTATCAATTATTTTTTGATTTCTTAATATATGAGGACCTAGGATCTTGGTAAGTGAACATGTGCTTTGTATTCACTTAGCATGTTACATGTGAACTAGCATGTGAAGAATTAACATGTGTTTGTGTGAGAGAGGAGGAGTAACCAGCAGAAGGTATTGTATGTATCACTAGTGGCAGGTTTTCTTCTTAGGTTTGTATTTGTAGACTTGTGTAAATATCACCTTCATGGTGTGTAAGCTAATGAACTACTATATATTCTAACAGTCTTGTACCTTTACACTAGAATTATGTGAATTTCTAAATTTGTTACCTAATTCATCTTTGAATTGAAAAATGTTGCAATTTTTTTCTCAAAAGTTTAATAGACATTTTATCACTTTGACGGTTCCAATATTAGTATTTTGTATCATAATTCAAGAAATGTATTAAAACAATATTTTTGTTTTCCAGGCTTTAGGTAAACATTGTGTGGTCTTCAACTGTTTTGAAGATCTGGACTATAAGGTAAAGCTTATACATACTCAGGAAAAATTACTATAGACATAAAAATATCACTGAGGAATGAAAAATGTCTTAGAGATATGGAAGACCCTATGCTTTTTTATGACACAGGGTCTCGCTATGTAGTTCAGGCTGGCCTTGAACTCACTATATAGTTGGCCTCCAACTTGCTACTGTCCTCCTGCCTCAGTCCCTGCAGTGCTGAGATTACGAGCTGGCGCCTCTACATCAGCTAAATTTTAGAAGACTAGCTCTGCTGTCCTGCTGACCCAGGAGAAGCTGCTTTGCACCCTAGCGGGTGTCCAGCAGCATTCTTCTGTTCCTGTTGGTGACATTCATAGACCAGTAGATCTCAAGGTGGCGGCGCCTACCCCACACAGGAGCCCATGGAGTCTGACCTGGAACCCCTCTGCACCCCTCCTCTCACCCCGACGCCCACCCCACCCCCACTCCACCCCTACCTTGCCCCCACCCCCACCCGGTTCAGGTCTCGCTAGAAAAGCCCTCCGGCTTTCAGCATCCGATGGATCGCCCAGGCGATGCTTGAGCAGGAGGAGGGCTCCTCTGTTGTCGCGCTTTACACCACCTGATGAGCTGCTGAGGTGGAGCCCCGCGGGTGGACGTGTGCCCGAAGGGCCTGAAGGAGGGGACCTAAGGATGACGGCGGGGTGACAGCATTGCAAGGAAACATATAAGTTATTGTCCCAGCCGGAGTGCAACCGGTCTACTTTTTTTTTTCTTTCTCTCCAGATCGTGGGCCGGTTCGTGTTCGGGCTGGCGCAGTCAGGCGCCTGGTGCTGCCTGGATGAACTGAACCGCGTGAGCACCGAGGTCCTCGCCGCCCTGGCTGCCCAGATGCTGGCGTTGAAGGCAGCGCGGGACAGCCGTTCTGCCAGGTGACTGCGTAGCCGTGCCATCCGGTGGTTATGAGGTCCTCAACACATCTAGGGTGGTTGTGGGGTTTCCCGGTTTGTTTTTTCCATTTTAGATTTTCTTGTCTTTTCATTTTAGGATATTTTATTTAAAGAAAGGAAATGTTTCTTTTTTGTTATTATTAATCTACGTTCTTCTTTAGAAGTACCACTGGCCACGCCACCCTTGTTTCATTGCACTGATGAAGGTGCTTTTACTGAAAAACTCTGCAATAGCCACACACATGTTAGGGTCACTACTGTTTAGTAACCCCAGCAGAATTCTTTTTTTTCTCCTCAGAGTAATTGAAGGAACCACATTATTTCCTTTTTGGACACAAATGAATTTGTGAGTTTAAAATTTCTGTTTTCCAAAAATATGAATAAAGGGCAGTGACTTGCGGGTTTTGTTTGTTCCCTTGTGGATTCTCTTCAAACTGTTAAAGCTAGTGTTGACAGCCCACATAAGTCTATGGTTAGGGCTGTAAGTCACAGGAACTCACATTTCTCCCATTCTTCCCATATTCAACCTCTCATAATTTGCTCAGTTTTTGTCCAAGGCTTCCCTAGATTCTGTCCTAGTTGTCCTTTTTTCTTATGTTTTGACCACCCTCTTTGGTCATTGTCTGTACCACCAGTGCCAACTACAGGACACTAGTGTCATGCCAAAGGCCTTTTATCACAGCGATCCCAGAGGGTTTTTGTTTTTGTTTTTGTTTTAACTAGGGAAAGGAATACTTGGGAAGTGTACTGTGTTCCATGCTGAAGCAGAAAATCTACGCTGTGCACTCTGTTCTGTCATCCAAGAAGAGCTCTTGTTCCTTGAATTCCCCAGGTTCCTTGAGTAAATACCATTAACACAAATACCTTCTATCTCAGTCCCACAAAATTGTTTAGACATGGTCAAATATATCTTTTTTTTT